GTAGTCCAAACGATAGCTGGGGATTCTGGGTAGTGTAGTGTCTTCTGCCATCCTTTACTCAGAAAAAACATTTGTTTCTGCGAATCGAAGGGGAAAAATACAAAAGCATTGCACACAATTTAAACCAATCAATGTTGTGTAATTAACAAGGATAATCTGGTGTTTTGTAGTCGATGAGTAGTGCAGATATCACTGTCAAATCAATCGACAGTAAGAGGAATACTTACTTCCGGGTGTACAATTCTCCGTTATCCAATGAGAATGGACGCTCACATTGCCTTTAAGGGCAGCCGACACAAACGAATGCCGTGCTTCCATGAGCGTCAAATCCCGCCGCAGATGGGAATACATTGCAATCAGTTGAAAGCTATTTGCGTCCCTTTATGACGCTGAAGGAGCCTAGGAGCGTCACAACTGGACGCCACGGACACTGACCAAACGTCGCTCCTGGACGCTTAGGGAGTGAGAGTGTGTTGCACAGGGTGTTCGTATGCTGGGAAGAGACTAGACCGTCATGTGACTCATGACCACCCTGAGTTCTCCCGAGATGAGGCAAATCAGGTCATGGCAAGGCTGAAGCATAGTGTGGTCCTGCAGTTGCTCCATGACCTCAGAGAGACTATTCCCATCATTGGAATGGCTACATCATTGGATATAGACAATGAGGAGGAATACCCGGTGCACCCTCCACCCTTCTCCCCACATACTGAGTGTGATGAAGAGGACTGCAGGCAGGTGATGCTGGAAAATGTGGCATTGAGGGCTCAGAAGGATGCCCTCATTGATGAGGTGAAGACCCTGCGCTCCAGGCTGAAAAAGGGGCTAAAACCCAGGCAGCAGAGTGCCACTGCTGCTGTGCTTGAGGAAGAGGAAGAATGTATACGATTTAAGGGCCTGGCAATCTCAAGTACCTCCGGCATAAACACAGTAGCCTCCGGTAATGAGACCCCTCTCAAGACCTCGGTCAAGACTCTCATGCGCTCCCCAGCAGCCTCCGGTAATGAGACCCCTCTCAAGACCCCGGTCAAGACTCTCATGCGCTCCCCAACAGCCTCCGGTAATGAGACCCCTCTCAAGACCTCGGTCAAGACTCTCATGCGCTCCCCAGCAGCCTCCGGTAATGAGACCCCTCTCAAGACCCTGGTCAAGACTCTCATGTGCTCCCCCAGCAGCCTCCGGTAATGAGACCCCTCTCAAGACCTCGGTCAAGACTCTCATGCGCTCCCCAGCAGCCTCCTGTAATGAGACCCCTCTCAAGACCTCGGTCAAGACTCTCATGCGCTCCCCAGCAGCCTCCGGTAATGAGACCCTTCTCAAGACCTCGGTCAAGACTCTCATGCGCTCCCCAGCAGCCTCCGGTAATGAGACCCCTCTCAAGACCTCGGTCAAGACTCTCATGCGCTCCCCAGCAGCCTCCGGTAATGAGACCCCTCTCAAGACCCTGGTCAAGACTCTCATGTGCTCCCCAGCAGCCTCCGGTAATGAGACCCCTCTCAAGACCTCGGTCAAGACTCTCATGCGCTCCCCAGCAGCCTCCGGTAATGAGACCCCTCTCAAGACCTCGGTCAAGACTCTCATGCGCTCCCCAGCAGCCTCCGGTAATGAGACCCCTCTCAAGACCTCGGTCAAGACTCTCATGCGCTCCCCAGCAGCCTCCGGTAATGAGACCCTTCTCAAGACCCCGGTCAAGACTCTCATGCGCTCCCAAGCAGCCTCTGGTAGTGAGACCCCTGTATGCCAGAAGACCCGTGCGTCCGTCTACAATAAGCTGAAAGCTAATCTGGCTAAGGACTGGCCCTCTCCTCACTGGTCCACTGGTAAGGGACGGGGGAATACCATGCGTGAAATCATGTTGCCTCAAAGTATGGAGACGTACATTCAGACATACAGGGATCATTGTGAGGGTGTCGCACCGACAGTAAAACGGAAAGAAAATTGTGTGTCCAATGTCACCCGGATAAAGAACTTCCTCGTATTCATGGCCCATGGTGTTAACCGGCTGTCAGATTGGCTGTTCCTAAAAGACACGGAGAGGGTCCGTGGCTGGAGCGAGTATATTGTAAAGTCGGGCCGGGCAGTCACAACATCGCTGTTGTTCCTGAAGAATGTGAACCATTTCCTGAGGTACTTGTCTGAGTCAAAGCTCCGGGGGTGCAGGCTCACCCAGTCTGATATGACCCACATCAGAGAGGTGAAAGCCAACATGAACAACTTGAAAAAGTCTGTCACTGTCCACCAGTTTAAGATGAAGAGGAACAAGCTGGATCGTCTGCCGAGCCAGGCGGAGCTTGTCGCCGCCATGGCGGCCGCTGAGAAGCGCATACCTGATCTCCTTGACCTGATGGCTTGCAACCCGACCTCAATCACCCAGTACCTGCTATATGGCTATCTATCCCTCCATTGGAGCCTCCTGTATGGCCACCGTCCGGGTGTGTACGCAAACATGACCAACACTGAGGTCTTGGAGGCGGACAGAAGGGGCACTGCTGAGGGCTACATCATCCATGTGCAGGATCACAAGACTGCCAAGACATTTGGCGAAGCACAGCTGGTGCTTACAGTGAAGGAGTTTAGCTGGGTCATGCGGTGGGTGGGGATAAAAGAGGGCTTGTCGGGTCCTCAGAATGAATTATTCCTTTTCCCAAGGTGGAAGCACGCCTCCAGGAACCTGAACGCTCACTTGAAGAGGGCTTGGGCTGATGCTGGGCTAGAAACAGCCGTCACCTTCACAATCCTGCGCACTGCCCTGGCTGACAATATCACGACGTAAGCACTGCAGACCGGTTCTAAGCAAATACGCCTGGAATAAAGGAGGGATTGAAGATCCGCTCCATGTTCACGGCGGCAGCAGCATCATCAGAAGGAGGTCTACCGCAGTTTTTACCACCAATATGTTTTTTATCAATAAATAGCAAATGATCTAACTAGATTTGCACACTGCACATGCAGGCACACTACCTAGTACCTACTATAAAATACAACACATGTTCTAAAACAAATGGGAAGTCACACACAGTCATCCAAGTTGTCCCTTTCAAGAGAAAATATGTGAGAAACACTATGGCTCGCCCTGCAACTAAGACACTGCACACAATACACACCACAACAATTATTGGGGGGCCATAACTTTTATTGACATTAATGTATTCTTTATTTTTCAGTGTCTTCCATCTCAGATGTGGTGGGAAGATATCGGCGGGTCCTTAGACCGGTGCAGAGAGGCTTCAGGATGACCAAAGCTTTTAAGAAAGCTCATGTTTCCAGGAATGCTGTGAAAGACACTGCAGCAATTGCTGAAGTATTCCTGGAGGACAAAAGTGTCCTCGACCAGTTTAAGGGTAAAACTACACTTTTAAAATTAGCCCAACTCTGTCAGAAGAATATAGTCGGTGAACTGGCAGAAAAGATTGCTGAAATGAAAAGCAACAAACAGCTCATCTCCTTTTCTGTCAGGTAATTCTGAATGTGGGTTGAGCGTTGTTGTGGGGGGGGGGAAGTGTTTTGGCGACCTGTTAATAATTATGTTTAGATGTCCTTTAGTAGGATTGAATGTGGTTCACAACTGTTCAGTTTTTACTTGTAGTATATTATTAAAATAAAAAAGCTTTCTTTCTCTGATATGCTGTGTATAGTGTTTGTTCTACTGTGCTTTATAACCTGGTATTGACTTCAGTTATCCAGTGTTCGTGATCAGTTGAGCAAAACAAAGGCCAAATGAGTCCTGGTATCATGTGTGTTTATGGGTGTGAGTGTTTTTATCAGTTCTGTGGAAGTCACACACCCTGACAGGGTGAAAGTTTCATTGGAACAAGAAAGAATTGTGGTGCAAGAAGTAAAAAAGCAGGAATGTACAACACACACACACACACACACACACACACACACACACACATTAAATAAAGCAGCCGAATATCTTTTATATTATATTATTATAACAATTATAATATAAAACACATTAAATATAGTGATAATAATGATGATAATAGAAATACTTGACATACTCACACACACACACACACACACACTTTGTATAAGTATTCACCTTAATCCACATTGTAAATTGTTTCCTTCTTTAGAGTTATTACTAATTCAAGATTCATTATTAAATCAGTGTCCTGTCCATCCACTCTGTCAGTACACAGCTGAGCTTCCACTCCCCGTAACACCGTGTTAGGGGACATGCAATCAGCTGTGGAGCCACAGCTAAGAAGCTGTGGTACTCCCTGGTGGCCCACTCCGCCGCCAAACCCTCCATAAATGGAACTTTAGCCCATGGGGGGCTGACACAGAAAGGGCCTATTTTCTACTGAGGTCCTTGAACGCAATGCGGCACGCTCTCGCGGGAGCGTGCGCTCCGTCATGATGCCGTCTTCACCCAGACCAACACACTCTCACTCCCTAAGCATCCAGGAGCGACGCTTGGTCAGGGTCCCGTGGCGTGCAGTTGGGACGCGCCGAGGCTCCTTCAGCTTCATAAAGGGACGCAAATAGCTTTCAACTGATTGCAATGTATTCCCATCGGCGGCGGTATTTGACGCTCATGGAAGCACGGCATCCGTTTATGTCGGCGGCTCTTAAAGGCAATGTGAGCGTCCATTCCCATTGGATAACGGAGAATTGTACACCCGGAAGTAAATATTCCCCTTACTGTCGATTGATTTGACAGTGATATCTCCACTACTCATCAACTCAAAAACACCAGATTACCTTTGTTAATTAAACCACATTGATAGGTTTAAATTGTGTGCAATGCTTTTGTGTTTTTCCCCTTCAATTCTGAGAAACAACTTGTTTTCTCTGAAATGTGGAGCGCCAAAGAGACTACACTACCCACAATCCCCAGCTATTGTTGTGACGACGCCAAAGAGCCCTTCCATGGATACGGGGGCCCCAAGGAGATCATCACGATCTTTTCTGGAAATAGCCGTGAGTCCCAACCAAACGTGACGTGATCCCACTGTGGCCAGGGACATCACACGGCCAGCTGCGGCGGCTACACCATGGATCAGATTGTTCATCTGTCCAATGCTGCGGTCCAAATAATCGCTCCGGTCCTGAGACAGGGAGGCGGGAGCGTCCTGCTGAGGAGTAATCAGCGACACGCCAAACACACCCAGATTATTGGCCGCTGCCGCCATCTGTGCTCCGAGCCGGATTATTTTGTCCCGTTCTTTTCGGTAAGAATGCCATTAGTTTTGCAGTTCATCAAATAAATGTCTTCTTAAGTAGATCAGTTAGGCTATTCAGAAGAGCTGGTTCTTGTGTAGGCTGAACAAAACAATAAGAGCAAGCACAGCACAAAGTAAAGTTCTGGCCTGTGTGATTTTTTTTAAACACAATTTAACAAGCATGGTAAATGTATGCCATCGTTAGAGGCGTCTACTTCCACCACAAACTGTTGGTTGGGATCAGGTACAGTCAGGATAGGAGCTGTGGTGAACCTCCTCTTCAGCTCCATGAAGGCATTTTCTGCCTGTGGATTCCACACAAACTGAACATGGGGAGAGGTAAGGGCATGGAGAGGAGAGGCAATGGCACTGAAATTGCGTATGAAACGTCTGTAAAAGTTAGCAAACCCCAATAATTGCTGAACCTTCTTTCTGGAGCTGATAGCCCAGGGGCACAGCGGAGGACCCGGAAGGGGTCTCGGGCGGACGGCCCGGGGGCAAGGCAGAGTTCAAGGATGGGGTCTCGGGCGGACGGCCCGGGGGCAAGGCAGAGTTCAAGGATGGGGTCTCGGGCGGACGGCCCGGGGGCAAGGCAGAGTTCAAAAAGGGGGACTCGGGCGGACGACCCGGGGGCAAGGCAGAGTCCACGGTGGGGCGAAGGCCACAGCGGGCGAACTCAGGGGGCCGAGCATGAGGGTGAGGGAATGCTCCGGTTTTGGGCCAAAATTAATATGGGATCACTCCGGTCATTGTACGTACTTCGTCTCACTGGAATATTAACGGTCAGATTGAATACAACATCGACCCAATTTCTCCGGTCAATTACAGGAGAGTTTTGAAAGTGACAAAACACTGTTTTCACACATTTAAAAACACTTAAACAATTAAACAATGTTTACCCATGATTCAGGCACCTTCCCTGGCTTGTAAAATGTGGTGATGCACCCTGGAGGTATCAGACTATTTAAAACATGTATACCCAGGATTCAATCACTTTTCCTGGCTTGCAAAGTGCTGTGAAGCAGCCTGTTCTCTGGGTGCAGTCTGGGTACAAGAGCCATGCGCTGCAAGGAGATCTCTGGGTGTGCTCTGTGGCTCTCAGAGCCCGCTTCTCTCTGGCTGCTCTCTCCCTGTATTCACAGCACTTTCCCCAGCTTTCCAACACTAATTACTGGGTATGAAAGCCTTGTACATCACCCTGGAGCTCTGCCTAGGTGCCTTTGAGTGTGAGACCCTGCTAACAGCAGTGAACCTGCTGCCAGCATTACAAACATATTAATCAGGGGTTTTAACACTTTTTTCCATGAAAAGGATTGTTGATTCACTATCATGGGGCTATATAAATCAAATTCCGGGTAATTAGGAGCACAATTGTACTTTTTACTATTTAAATGTATTTGTATTATATATTTTTGGGCTATTAAAGTGACATTTATGGGTGACTTTGTCAGTTTATGGAGCTTAGCCCACAATTCCTGGAGGTTCCAGGCTTAATTTTGGAGCTCATAGGTGGCCTGCCATGCGCCCCCATCCGTGGAAAGCCGAAAAAAGTAAAGAAAACGGTCAATTATATCTTAAAATAATCAAAAATAAAGTTTAAAAAAAATTCTCGAAAAATGACAGTGCCAGCAGAGGAGGGGCTCCAAAAAGCTCAAGTCTTCGGGGCTTTGGGCGGAAGCCCCGGACACTTTTTCCCTCCCCCGTTGCATTTTACAACGGAGAGGGGAATCGAGACCTCCCTTCCTCCGTCAAAAAAAAATGCATTCATGTTTTCCAAGCTACCATCTGCACGAAATCGGAAACCCAGTTTTTGAGAGCACTTAGAAAAAAACGACTGTGTGATTTCCTGGATGAATTAATCCGCTACATGAGTGCTTTGGCTCAGATACAATTGTTGCCTGGAGACCCCCAATCATGGTTCTTACTAAACTTTAAGTTTTTGAACTGGTCTCTGGAGGAATGCAAGGGGAGTTTGATGGGACTCTACCTGCCTTACGTCAGATACCTCCGAAGAGGACTCAGGGGCGGATAGCAGCGATACCTCTTCTTCAGGGCCGGTTGATACTCGTGATGTGGGGGTAGGGGCCGTGGACTCAGCCTTTTTTCCCGGTGCACCGTACAAGTTAGACGGCTAATATGGCCCCCGGGCCCCCGCTAATCATGTTTTTATTATGTTTATTATGCATATTGTGTATACTGTTTTTGTAAAAATCATGTGATAATTAAATAAATAAAAAAACATTGATATAACCTTGAAGATTCCCAGGGGTTGATACAGTGCCAGGTATCAGACTATTTAAACAAAGTTTACCCAGGATTCAGACACCTTCCCTGGCTTGTAAAATGCGGTGATGCGCCCTGGAGGTATCAGACTATTTTAAACCACTTTCCCCCGCCTTTCAAACACTTATTCCTGGGTTTTAGCCTGTCATTTTGCACGATATGATTTAACATTGAACCTCTCCTGGAAATTGACATATTCTGTCCATTTCCAGGAGAGCTTCAATGTTAAATAATATCTTGCAAAATGACAGGCTAAAACTCTCTTCTAGACGTTTAAAAACACTTTTCCCGACCATTTAAACATTATTTCTGGCTTGTAAAGTGCAGTGATGAGCCCTGGTAGTATCAGACTATTTAAAGGGTTGCCAGGAGCATGAGAATATCCTCCACAGAAGGGGTGGTGGTGCCGTGAGTAAGGCCGATGGATGGTGATGGGCTGACAGAAAAGCACCACAAAATCCACCACCTTTAAGTGTTACCAGGGGCATGAGGTTCTGTAGGGTGTGATCATCTGGGTTTAGTCCGTGGCGGAGTGCTTAAGTCCGGGGGCCCGGAGACTCACGGTGTGCAAGGTTATGGAGGTGTCCATGTCAGGGACACATGCTGGAGGTCAATAGTCCGTCCTTTGGGGCTCTTTGAAGGGCTACAGAGAGGTGCAATTACTGGTCTCTCTCCTGGAGGTGTGAAATAACCTGATTCCCCATTTCAGGGACACATGCTGGAGGTCTCTCTCCCGAGAGTGGACGTACATTGCCTCTAAATAGAGGTAAAATTAGGTCTGTCACTTCGGGTAACCGCACCACTGTCAGACGTCTCCCGAATGGACGTCCATTGTCTCTAAATTGGGCGAAGGCAGCGGTAGGAAGAGTCAGGGGGCCGGGCTCGACGGCGAAGAAGGCAGTCGCAATTTCTACAGGCTCGTAAGGCTCGCACTTACCTGTTAGCATCTGTTAGCATATGTTAGCATCTAGCAGCATCTAGCTCTCCTGCTTACAAACTTTTAGCCATCCCTGCTTATACAAGTAGTAGTTTTAGTTGTCTGCGATCTGCGGAGGCCTACTCCCACCTGTCGAGTACGGCTGTACTAAGGTGTTTTTCCTCCGGAGACGTCGTGAAGAGACGGAGCGGCTCCACCTGTTGCTGCATGCGATCTGCGATCTACGGAGGCCTGCTCGTCGCGAAGAGACAGAGCGGCTCCACCTGTTGCTGCATGCGATCTGCGATTTACGGAGGCCTGCTCGTCGCGAAGAGACAGAGCGGCTCCACCTGTTGCTGCATGCGATCTGCGATCTACGGAGGCCCTGCTCGTCGCGAAGAGACAGAGCGGCTCCACCTGTTGCTGCATGCGATCTGCGATTTACGGAGGCCTGCTCGTCGCGAAGAGACGGAGCGGCTCCACCTGTTTGCTGCCTGCGATCTGCGATCTACGGAGGCCTGCTCCCACCTGTAGAATACGGCTGTACTGGAGAGGTTTTTACCCCGGAGTCGTCGCAGAGAGACGGAGTGGATCCACGCTTCGGGCTTGGCCTGCTTCCATCGGGCGTGTGCTGCTGTACGGAGGAGGATTTTACCACCGCTGGGGCCTGCTTTCCACCTGTCCTGGTTCTGCTGTTGCAGAGGCCTGCTTTCACCCCGGGGATACCACGGAGGGACCGGAGCGATTCCACGCTGCTGTTTTCGCCTGTCCTTTGCTGCTGTGCTGATTTTGCTCCAGGAACATCGCGGATACTGTGTGCTGGTCTGGGAAAATGGCCCATATCGGGATTCTGCTGTGCCTGTTAACTATTTTGGACTATGAGAAGATCTCTAGTCATTCTGAGAAGACTACTGGATTCAGGTCTGTTCTGCCACCCGCAGTGGGCATCCCCTGCAAAGGTTCGGATGTGTTGCTCAAACAATTACCGGTTGCCTTGTCACAGTCAATCTGCTCGACAAAATATGTTTGTCTTTTTTGTTTTCCTGCGATGATGGTTCTTCAGGACTGCTTCTTAAGCTCTAATCACACTCTCGCAGACTTTTCCGGTGTTTCTAAATTAGATGACAATGTATGTGTGTCGTTTAAGAGGAAAAGATGCCTGGTTTTGTTGTTATTACTGTCAGGAAATGTACAACCTAATCCTGGTCCGCCCAGTAGTAGTAGTCAGATCGCTACTCCTGCTGATTTTAAAGCTAGGTCTGGGTTGGGTTTCATCCACTTGAATGTGCGCAGTCTGTTAGGTAAACTAGATTTTGTCCGCATTTGGGCGAGCTCGACTGACGCTGACGTCATTGTCTTATCAGAGACGTGGCTAAATAAATCTATTTTGGCCTCTGACATTGCCTTAAATGGTTTTAATGTGTATCGTACCGACCGGCCTAATAAAGGTGGTGGCGTTGCCATTTATGTTAAGAATAAGTTCAGTGTAACCACATTAGTTTCCAAATCGATCAGTAAGCAATTTGAATTTGTAGCCATAAATATAGAAGTGGCAAAGGGTCAACAGGTCATGGTAGTGAGTTGCTACAGACCCCCCTCAGCTGTCAAAGACTCCTTGTCTTCACTAGCAAATCTTTTATCGCAACTAGACTACAAGGAAATAGTGCTACTTGGAGATTTGAACTGGGACTGGTTAACTGCAGTGTCAGAGGATTTTAAAAACCTTTGTATCTCTTTGAATGTTACTCAGATTGTTGACAGTCCTACTCGCCCAAACATTAAGTCCCCAAATAAATCCTCCCTAATTGATCTCATTTTAACTAATGTTCCCCATAAATACTCATCTGTGGGAGTATTTGCGAATGATGTGAGTGATCACTGTGTTGTAGCCACAATTAGGGACACTAAGGTCCAAAAGGTTAAACCTCGCATTATCATTAAGAGAGACATAAAACATTTTGTTGAGCAGGGTTTTGTGCATGATCTGTTTGGGTTTGATTGGGGTAAAATCGATCTGTGTGCTGATGTGGAAACCGCATGGTCTTATTTGTATCTTGGTTTTATGGAAATCATTGATCCTGTGGTTCTCTGTTTCATTCTGTCACTAACTCTTCTTCTGTGAACACTACAGTCTGTGACTCTGAAAAACGTGTGTTGGAAAACCCTTTTAGTTTTACCCCTTTTACTGTTAATGTTGTTCGTGAAGCTTTAACCAAGTTAGATCCTAAGAAACCGGCTGGCCCGGACAACGTAGAACCTTTCTTTTTAAAGATAGCTGCAGATTGTATTGCTCTTCCTCTTACTACTCTTTTTAACCTCTCCCTCAGCACAAATGCAATTCCAAAAGTATGGAAGTCAGCGTATGTCCTGCCTTTGCTAAAAGGAGGGGAGGTCACCTTATTAAATAACTATAGGCCAATCTCTAAATGGTCAGTTCTGGCTAAGGTTCTTGAACGCCTAGTGAGTGAACAGGTAAAGGAGTTTTTATGTAACAATGACATCCTGTCTGAACATCAGTCAGGCTTCAGAAAGCAACACAGCACCATCACTGCCACAATGAAAGTGGTGAATGACATTACGAGTATTTTAGACAATAAGCAGAGTTGTGCAGCTCTATTTATTGACCTTTCCAAAGCGTTTGATACCGTCGATCATCGCATTTTGAAGCAGAGGCTACTCAGTATCGGCATATCCAGCCATGCAGTGGGTGGTTTGTGAACTACCTCTCTGAAAGGTCCCAATGTGTTCACTTTGATGGGCTGTCTTCTGAGTGGTTAAACATTGCTAATGGTGTTCCTCAAGGTTCTGTTTTAGGTCCACTTTTATTCTCCATATCAACAGTTTAGGTGAAAATGTGGATGAAGCTACTTTACATTTTTATGCTGATGATACCGTGATGTTCTGTGCAGGTCCCTCCATTCAGGAGGCTGGTGTTAAATTACAGGCTGTTTTTAACATTATTCAGACTCAGCTTAA